TTCACCGATATGTACGAAACTCGGTAGGCACGTGTAACTCACCAAGACGTACAAAAAAGCCTCTTGGACCCATACCCCAAACCCCACGGGAAGTCGGCCATTTTGATTTTCATTTTCATTTTCACTTTTGGTGAAATTTTAGCCATTGATGACAGCAGACATCATGTTAAAATCCATGTGGAAGCAAATATTACCTTCCCCTGTGTTCTTATACTGTGGAAGTGGAAAGTTATATAAAGTCCTCTGAGGATTTATGTTGTATCCCTGTAGTGTCCTTTGCATTGTTTATAAATGAGCTCAGAACCTTTGGTACAGTCAACTTTTGAATGTACAGGAAATAAAGTAGCATACAGTGGTAAACTCAGCTCTCTACTTTATTGAATATTCTGCTCAACATTTCCAACAGGTTTAACAGGAATCTGACATTGCTTCAGCTCTACAAACATCAGCAGTGTACTAAACATCTAACAAAATGGTGACAGTGATTCCCTCCTCAGAGCAGTAAAGCCATTAATTGAACCCCAGGTCATGTTTAAGACACACATGTAACAAAATTATTCCTTTTATATTCTGAAAAGATTACATATGATATATTTTTAAGCTGAGCTGCACAAAGAAGAAAATAAAACAAATGCTAACTTAAAATATTTGGACTTTAACTACCTTATGTCCCAATATAACCAACATCTCACATTCAACAAAACCAAAATCACTATTATACAATTATTGAAAGTATCTGTTTCAACATTCTGATGTTAAGACAGAAAGAAAAATTGTGTATCAGTATACATATGTTTAGGTATTAGAATAGAAAGTTACCTTTAAAAACACAGAATTTTTGTATCAAGCAATGCAAACTGATTATGAAGCTGTGAAGAACATTTTGAGAAGAAGGCTGTGCTTAGAATCATCATGAACTAATACATAGAAGTTACATGTACAGTCACTTCATTAGAATCAGTGATCTTGGTCCATCTGGGTTTGAATGCATTTTTGAATTTTTGAAATGTGTTCAAGTTAAACTGGAGTATTAAGTTGCTCTTTGAACTTGAAATGAACATCCATATCCCTACAGACCAATATCTAACAACTATTTGTCATTGCTCTTATTCAATTGGACACACGTGCACATAATTGTCATTGTAGTGAGCATTGAAGCATGGGTACACAGGCTCATTGAATCTGGCTTTAAAGGTGTGGAGGTGAGTCAGTTTGCTATAACAGACTTTGTAGAAGGACAGAGTGCCACCAGGCCAGTCCAGAAACAACCCAACTCTGTTGCAGCCAGAGGGAAAAGACATTTCCTCCAATTTACCATTATGCCATGGCTCAAGTGTGTGTTTGAAATTATTCGAGAATTGGAGAAGAGACCAAGACGTGGTATTATTTCCAAGACTAGTCCCTTTTTTGTCAATTCCCTTGTATGCAACACCGATTTGAACATATTGGTGGTGACAATGACTCCACTCTACCTCCCAGTAATGGCACCCCTTTAAACTCTCTTTGCCCAGCACCTGAATATGTTTATCAAACCTATCTGGGTGAACAGGGTATGTCTGCCATTGTCCACATGTTGCCTTTTTGTTTCCCTCAGACAGAGTGAGGTAGTTGTTGGCAGTGTTTGGGTCCAGGGTGACATCACAAGCATCTGATGGAGAGACCAAAACAAAATGTGTTATTAGTCATTCTGATGGTCAAACAGGTTTCTGGAGGACAGTACATATGAGGAATTTGTTAATTAAAAAACAAATATGGAAAGTGACTTACGCCAGATCAAATTACTTTTTTTTACATCTTTGATATTCTGCACATCAGAAACCTTGGGCTCCGAAAAATCTTCACTTGCCAGCTTGCCGCCTTTATAATGGTAGATGGTTGCGCCTTTGTATTTCTCATTTTCATCGGCTGCTACAAGGAAACGGAACCGGCTGTTGTTCTTCAGTGCTCTGGCAAGATCATGGAAATATTTGGCTTTTTTCCTCATTGTGGTTAAAACCATATCTGAGGAGCTCCAGTGGTCTTTATTGCTTCCTAATTTAGGTGGTTTTGGGTAGCGAGCCATTGCATCAAGGCTGGGGTCAAAGCTCTCCAGGGAGGTGAAAACAAAGCACAGAACATCCTCTGCATCTGTAGCATTAACGGTTGGAACGATCTTTGTAACCTGCATCGTTTCTACACAGGACCTGATGATGATGATCTCTTTCTCTTTATGATCCAGCCAGCTGTTTAGTTTTTTTTTACTGAATGGTGACTTGCGTCTGTCTTCAAAGAGTTGTTCTGCTGAACTCTCGTCTTCTTTACCTTCACGGATGAGGGAAAATTTGTTCCTCATGGCCTTCTTCAGGATAGATTCATAGTCTTCACACATGTTTCGGAATCTGTCTAACCCTCCTTTAATCTGTGGAAGATTCTCTACCACTCTGTCATCCAGATATTCGTTGCATCTCCTTTTTATTTCCCTAAAATCTTCAACAGCATCCTGTGCCTTCCTCACTAGTCCAACGCTGATCCCTGTCTTAAGCTCATCAGTTTCAGGATACAAATTCTTCAATGGCATCAGCCAGACCTTCAGAGGAACAGACTTCTGTTCCTGTTTCAGTAGCTTGGGAAGTCCTGCATAGGTCTTCACTGCTTCTTCAAATGTTGTAGGGTTGCTGTTAAGAATGAAGTCTCCGTAGAATTTGCAGGAGAATTTGTTCTTCAGGGCTTTTTCTTCATCAGTCAGCTTGATGTCAACTTTTCCCTGAACATCGAATGAGGGGATTTTATTTATCACAGCTTTCATGCCTGCCTGGATGTTCTGAACGCTGCTGGCTTCTAACTTCTGACTGTCAAACACAAAGAAAGCGTTTGCCCCATAAAGGATGCCTGTGACTACATGTGTTGCCCCACACTTCTTAATGAAATCTATCTTTTGGCGGTCCTTGGGTTGAGGGTGAGTCAAAGTCAACTGTTCGAAGGTGGTGGTAGCGTTGTACTTAAGTGTCACTCTGCTCTGATTCTTGTATTTCTTTGTATCATTTAGATATTTGGCAGATCCTTCAACTTCAATCAGTCCACCTAGGAAACTGGCTTTCAGAGAACCATCAATTTCCAGCAGAGAGAACTTGGATTCAATGGAGTCAGATGCAGAAACTTCAGATGTACTGCTCTGATGAGGGGTTACACGAGTTTCTTTATCCCATAATACCCCACCTGTAGAAATTGGAGAACATCAGTCATGTGATAAAGTAGGAAAACCATATTTGTTAATATAGGCAAGTTAACCCGTTAACACATTAATTAATTAATGCCAACAATTATTTTATCTCGCATTAACGCAGTTTTTTTTACTATTATTATTATTTTGAAAGTCCGTTGCTCACTGGCTCTGAATACACAGACCAACAATGGGTCACAGGAGGGGAGTGAAGGGAGGCTTTGGCAGACTATGTTGGACGCAGCGTGGGGGAAAAGTATAGATAAACAAAAGCAAGACAAG